TGCAGCGATTCCCTAGAACTATGGAGGGTGAGTGATTTTCACTCACCTCATAGTTCTCCTTTAAAAGAAAGTAATGGCGGCCCATTGCAATTCTCCCGCCATAGAGAAAAGTTTAGGAACTGCATTTTTGTACCGAGTGTAAAATCCCTTTCTCGGAGTCCATCGCGTGTCTGTTTCATGACCCGAGGGTTATACTGCCACCTACGGGAGCATTGGGCACAATGAAGGCTGTAATGGCGGCCCATTGCAATTCTCCCGCCATAGAGAAAAGTTTAGGAACTGCATTTTTGTACCGAGTGTAAAATCCCTTTCTCGGAGTCCATCGCGTGTCTGTTTCATGACCCGAGGGTTATACTGCCACCTACGGGAGCATTGGGCACAATGAAGGCGTCTCATTTCTGAGCGAGGAAGCGCACATACAACATCGTCCTGATTTCTCTCTTTATAGAAATGCTTTCATTTACATTTATGAATGATACAAAATGCTTGTTTTTTTTCCTGTGTAAAAGCAGTTTGTGTTTAAACTAAAAGGGCTTTCCCCTCGAAGAAAAGAAAAAAACTTGGGGGAGATCTCCGATCGCCCCCCAATATGTACTCTGCACTGACGGTGAAGACACTGGGCACACGGGGCTGAACGCGCTCCCTCCTGGGACGGGATAGACACGGCGGACAGTCTGCTCCGCGCCGCCCTCTGCAGGCTGGAGGCTGTACAGCAAGGGAGTGTCTGCAACCATTAATCAGTGAGGGGGCGGGAAAATCTCTTCTGTCACCTATGTGTATATATGGAATTATGGAAATGCGCAGTCTGCGCGGGAGGACTGCCGACAAACTGTGATGTAGGCCGCCATAATGAGACGGTGATGAAGTCAGGCGTTGTCGGCCTCCCTCACGCGAGCCAGCAGCGAAGAATTCTCCTGTTTAATGGCCTTGTAATCTTCCAAGATCTTCTGCAGATTGCTTAGCGTCTTCTTCACCGTCTCCGTCTCTATCTGCAGAGAGAAGAAAAGATCTTAGCCATAGGTCCACCTTACCGGCCCTGTACCCAGGCACCGCCACCTTACCGGCCCTGCACCCAGGCACCTTACCGGCCCTGCACCCAGGCACCTTACCGGCCCTGCACCCAGGCACCTTACCGGCCCTGCACCCAGGCACCGCCACCTTACCGTCCCTGTACCCAGGCACCGCCACCTTACTGGCCCTGTACCAATGCCCTGCAGCACCTGTCCGCAGGTGAGACACGGACATCTCTAAGCTCGGATATTAGCTGAAGAGGAAACATTTACATCTAAACGGGTTTGTGAATGAATGAATGTGTACCGGCCCTGCACCCAGGCACCTTACCGGCCCTGCACCCAGGCACCGCCACCTTACCGTCCCTGTACCCAGGCACCGCCACCTTACTGGCCCTGTACCAATGCGCTGCAGCACCTGTCCGCAGGTGAGACACGGACATCTCTAAGCTCGGATATTAGCTGAAGAGGAAACATTTACATCTAAACGGGTTTGTGAATGAATGAATGTGTTTCCTCCTCACTTCCAGTGTAGTTACAGGAACAGTAAGTAAAGGGAAGTCTGTCCAGGAACAGGAAGTCAAGGGAAGTCTGTCCAACAGCCTCACCATTTTACTACACATAGGTCTCATATGCTGTCGCAGCACTCTTCTCATTGACTGGCCTAGCCCTGGGCTGGGGGAACATTTTAGGGTTCCAGGGTCTTCATAAATGTTGTGCTCATTCCCTCTGCAGATCTCTACAATCATTTCCCTGAGGATCCTGTAAAACACTTTTCCTCCGGCCTCTATATAAAACAAGTGTTACTGAACAGAAGGCAGACCCCAAAAATTACCTGCTCCTCCAAATCACGGATCTCCCTCAGAATGGTTCCCGTGTCCTCGATGGTCTGAATCAGCTGACCACAATTCTACGGCAGAAGAAAGAAAACAAAAATGGGGGGGGGACACATGTGAAAAAGAAAACGCATGCCACAGGAGTGCTATTTGTACAGGAAGTACCGGCCCCTTCTTTACAAAGCTCAATAGCTCAAGCCCCAGAAAAAATATTTAGAGCCGGTATTCATCCCTTTCAGGTGTCAATCAGACAAAGCAAGTTAAAAAGCAGGCTGCTTCTGCCGTCCCATAGAGCTATGGGAATTTTGTAATGCAATAAAATGTTTTTTTATATAAATAGAGATCGTGTATACACATATCTTTGTTCTACAAGCTTGCATTTGTTTTTACCTCTTTGTTGCTGTGGGTCTGCTGGCACCTGTGGTTCTACTAGCACGTGCTGCACAGAGCTAGCAGCGATGGGTGTCACCCGATGATTAATATACCCTTGCTTCCTGCTACTTCCTGTCCAGCCTCCTATCGCTCCCCCTATTTAACCCCTTCGTGACGGGAGACGTACAGTGTACGTCCCGGCACTTTCTGCCTATATGACTGGCCACGTACACTGTACGTGACGAGTTATATGAGGCTTTGTAATGCTGGTAACAGCTGATTCTCAGCGGTTACCAGTCATTAATGGATGCCTCAGTATTGAGGAATTCATTAATGAAATAATTAAGCTTTTTGTAAAAGCTTCTTCCTTTCAGTAATGAAAGAATGAAGGCGTTACATGCCAATACGGGACCGCTATTAGCAATCCCGTTTTTGACAGCTGAAAATAGCAGAGAGGTAGCAGTGACTCATCTCTCTGCTATTTGTTTTGACAGCTCCAGAGCCCGATGCTTAGACCCCATTCACACTGAGCGACATGGAAATCGCGCGACATTGAGCGACATCGCGCGACTTCTTCCTATTGGGCTGTATGTAATCAGGAGCAATATCGCTCAAAATTGCTCTAAAAAAGGGTCATGTAGGAGCGACAAGCTACCAGCGACGAGCTACAAGCGATATTGAGCGACGAGATGTGAACAGCTACATTGAAATGTATTGGTGAAGCTACATAGCGCGATATAGCGCGGAAATATGAGCGATATCGCTGCAAAAATCGCTCCATAAATCGCTCAGTGTGAATGGGGCCTTAGATACATTTCACTCAAAAGATACAATGTATATCTTTTGAGTGAAACGTATCAGTTCTGATCGTCTAGGCGCGATCAAAGAGCTTTTAGCCCTCGTTCACACCTGAACGTTTTGTAGCGCGTTCTACGCTCGACGAACGCTCTACAAAACGCTCAAAAATATAAATCCCATTGTATTCAATGGTCTCGTTCCCACCTTGGCGTATTTCCGCCCGTCCCTAACGCGCTACAAAACGGCCCACGCCTGAAAAGGTACAGGTGCTACTTTGGGCCGTTTTGTTGCGCGTTTCCATTGGGATACAGCCAAGTAGCCTTCGGAAACGCGCGACTTTTTTACCGCGAATCGCGGTAAAAAGAAAACGCGCGACAGACGCGCATATGCAATACGCCTAGGTGTGACCCAGGCCTTAGTGAGATCTGAATCTGACTAAAGTCAGGATCAGTCTCTGAGGTTATTATTAGCTGTCTAATAGCCAAAAAATGTTTTAAAAAAAGTTAATTTATCAAGCAGTCATAGTGACTGCTTGATATAAACTGACAAGAAAGTGTAAAAAAAATTAAATAAAGTGTAAAACAAAATTAGGAAAATAAAAATGATATATAAATACATTTGCTATACTATAATATAAAAATATTAAAAAAAAATAATACTAATCAAAACTTGTGAAAAAATTGCTTTCTTCTAGTTTTTTTTTCCTCATTTTTTTTTATTTTATTCAAACTAAGTGAGGTACACATATGTGATATAATTATGTAGCCCTATCTGTCCTCTAAAAAACAATATATAATATGTGCGGGTACATTTAGTAAGAAAGTATATTACTGCTGTGGAAGAATCACACAGCAAAAATGTAAAAAGCGTGTCAGTCATTTATGAACAGAAACTGAAAACTAGCTCAGTCATGAAGGGGTTAAATCCCGCTCGGGCCGGCTTCCATTATCCTTCTCTTACCTCATGTAAGGCAGCCAGATACTTGTAGGCCTTTCGCACCGGTTCATCCTTCTTGGCATCCTGTGTAGAAAGCCCCCAGATGTTAGAATACACCCGAGAGACTAATATGTACACTCCGATACAGAGGGGATTAAAGATTCACAAACAACAACAAATAAAAGTCATCTTTGTTCGCGCCGGATTATGATCAGCTGCTGACTACAAGTAAATATAAAATCAGGGAAAGGGAACCTCGGCTACAAGTCCCATCATCCCTCTGCCTCCGGGAGTCATGCCTGTGGCTGTCAGAATCTTGCAATGCCTCATGGGACTTGCAGTCCCCGCAACAGCTGAAGTGCCGAGGTTGCTTACCCCCCCCCCGCTACAAATCAGATCTATTGCATATACTCCACCTTAAACACAAGCTCGTCGGTGACCACGAAGGTTCGGTCAACTTTTCCTGTTAAACTGTTAATTTCCTTCTGCAATTCTTTAGTGTCTGAAAGGATCTAAAAACAGAGAAAAGAAGATGAGACATCGCTGAAAAATATTATTAAACATATGCTATAAGGATTACACGTTTAATGCCCTAGCAGTTACCAAGGCGATACACACACGCCAAAAGTATTGGGCCCCTCCCCCTCCAAATCATGTGATTCAGGTGTTCCAATCCCCTCCATGGCCCCCGGTGTATAGGATGAGGCACCTCGGCATGCAGACGCTTCTACAGACATTGGTGAGAGAACAGGTCGCTCTCAGGAGCTGTGACTACAAGCGTGGTGCCGTGATAGGTTGTCACCCGTGCAATAAGTCCATTGGTGACATTTTCCCGGCTACTAAATATTCCGCGGTCGCCTGTTACTGGGATTATAATAAAGTGGATGGAAGTTCCGGCATCGGGATAAGCATCGGAAGCATTTGGGCGAGTAGGAGGTATCGATTCCAAGTATTTAGGTATTAGTCGTAGTCGCTCAAATGCTCCCGATGCCCATCCCGATACTGGAACTTCCGGTATCAGGGAGAGCCGGGCAGCGAGTCATTACACGTCGCCTGACTTCCTGTTAGGCCGGGAAGCCGGCACGACAGAATCCAAGTCAATGCAAATCTATTTTATTGATGGATGCCCCTCAAATGTCAAGCGCTTTTGGGGCCGCACAGGGTCCCCTTCATCAGGCTCAGAGATGACTCCGGTCCCGGCACCTCTACGGGACGCGTGAGGGAGCTCTAAGCAATGCACGTATGGATGGAGCTCGCTCGCGGCCATTGCCCCAGCCCACTTCAAGCTGACACTCGGCACCGGGCAGCATATTTTGAATGGCAGCTCGGCGTGAGGACTGACAGTGCTGCGCTAGGGGGAGGAGGAGGAGCCTCTCACCTAGAGAAGTGGAAGGCATGCGGTGACCCACTGAACACGGGGTCGTGACCCACTTTTGGATCACGACCCACCAGTTGAGAACCAAGGCTCTATGCCAGTGTTGTAATCTCTCTGCATTGAAGCCTGGACATACAATTCCCAGCACAAAGCAGACAGACGTCATTACACAGTGCAAGGGAATCCTTCATCCACCAAGAGGCCGCTTCTGAACCTCCCCACTGTTTGAGCATATGCTGCTGCTTCACATAACAATCTCGGGGAACCCCTGATGAAGAATGCTTGTGGAACAGCACAAAGCAGACTGTATACACACAAGACATCACGTTCCGTCACTTATCATTCTCTATACCAGGGGTCTCAAACCTCTGGCCCCTCCAGCTGTGGGTGAAACTACAAATCCCATGATGCATCTCTCTTCGGGAGTCGCGCCTGTGAGAATCTTGCAATGCCTCATGGGATTTGTAGTTCCACCCACAGCTGGAGGGCCGTAGGTTTGAGACCCCCTGCTCTATACCCAACCTTACTCCCTTCGGACTCTGCCGCAGTATTCCGCACCGTCTCGCTCATCTCGGCTCTTACCAGCTGCTTGTATAGCTCTTCTTTGCGCTTGGCCTCATCAGCCGACGCACGGATCTTGTCGTATAAATCTTTGACATCCTTCATCCAGCGAGAGGACTCGTTCGCGGGAATTACCGCGCGATAAATCGCTCAATGTGAACGGGGCCTTAGACGTGCATCCCGAGCTGGCCGGAGGACACTGTTTCTCTGAGCATCCCTGCTGGCCACTGGTTGCTGCAGACTTCAGCCGTGCAATCTGCTGATCAGCTGCTCGATTACGCGCCAATAGATCTCAAATCAGCAGATTGCACAGCTAAAGTCTGCAGCACCCGGTGGCAGGCAGGGACGCGCGTCTAAAAGGATGCCGGGGATGTGTTCTTTCATAAGAAGCTCGGGAACAGCAGTACATTGACTGACGCCGGTCCTAAAGATACTCACACATGACAAAGAGCAAAAATAAAAATGGCATAGGAAGAAAAAAACAACAACTGTTATGCCCCATTCACACTGAGCGGATTGCCGCGCGATTCCGCGCATTTTTGCCGCGAGAAGTCGCCGGCCAATGTTCCTCAATGGTGCTGTTCTAATGTACAGCTCCATGTGGCCCGTTGCTCGTCGCGTCAGCAGGACCCTTTTTCCCCGCGGATGTCGTGCGATTTTTCTATTTTTTAATGCAACCCGACTGTGAAAGTTGCGCTATCGTCGCCGCCGAACAGTTGCGCTATCCCGGCCGCGCGGATCCGCTTGTAAAGGTATGTCGCTTAGTGTGAATGGGGCCTTAGGCAATGCACGTATGGCCTTGGGCCCCATTCACACTAAGCGACATACCTTACAAGCGGATCCGCTCGGCCGGGATAGCGCGACTGTTCGGGGGGGCGACGTTCCAGCGACGATAGCGCGACCTTCACCGTCGGGCTGCATCCAAAAATAGAAAAATCGCGCGACATCCGAGGGGAAAAGGGTCCTGCTGAGGCGACAGTGACATGGAGCTGTACATTAGAACAGCTCCATTGAATAACATTGGCTGGCGACTTCTCGCGAAATCGCGCGGCAAAAATGTGCAAAATCGCGCTGCAATCCGCTCAGTGTAAATGGGGCCTAAGAGGTGGGCCAACAACAGTACCGATCAGAAGGAGAGGGGATTGATGATGATTGAAGTCATACAGCTCAGGACAGCTGCTGCAGCTTCAGAGGGTTATATTGGGGTGATGCAGGTTTGCAGGGAGTTGAGAGTCGGTGGAACGTTTACATAGTGATGGATGCACGGCTACAACGTACCTCCTTCTCTTGGTGAACCTTCCTCAGCTCTCTGTATTCATCCACCAGCCGAACCCGATGAGATTCCCACTGGCCGGCGAGGTTCACCAGTCGCTGGGTGCTGCTGTCTACCATGGCCTTAAAAAAACAAAACAGAGATTTGTCACAAGTTACCCAGAACCGTCCTAAAGACAAGCTGCGCGCGGCAAACCCAAAGAAGCATTTGGATACCTTTCTGACCAGAAGCACTTTCCTTTCCTTCCCCTCCCAGACCCGGCTGTTCACTCTCCTGTGTAAGCTCACTCTACTTC